ATTGAAAATTAATAGGGCAAATTCGAAAAACCGCCATTTAGAAATATCCGAGCGTGTTAGATTTTATACAGGCGGTTCAGCTTTTTGTTCCTGTTACACTAGCCAAAAATCTGACGATAATTTTGAAGGGTATTTTAAATCTGACGGTTTGGAATATTTTGTTTTTTGCTTTTCATAAAATGTGACAAATAAAGACACAAAAAATTAGATATTAAAGTAGATAAAAAAAGATAAAGTAGATACAATTTAAAAAATATTTATTTCATTGTTTGCTTCAAAATAAATAAAATGTCAAGGTCATGTGTATTTTTTGGAACTTTGTGACCCTCCCACTGCTTTGGGTCAAGCTCAAATCGTCAGGTTTATTACACAAAGTGTATGTAATGGACTCAACTTACCTTACCTTACGCGCGAGTATTTCTGACCATGGTTTTTTTTTTACTAATCTGTTGGGCTGCTCTAGACGATCCCCCCTATATGTAGGGCTCATGTATGGTGGAGGCACTCAACTGGGTTAAGGTATTCTTCCTATGTTAATCTGTCACGCTGGAGTAACTCCCGAAATGTCTTCTAGGGCTCCCTTCTAATATGTACATAGTCTAAATAGGTGCATCAGGTGATCAGTCGTCAGAGGTGGTTGGCAACTGCGCACCGCAATTTTCTATAGGTAATCTACTTTATTATAATAATAAATGCAGGAGATTAAATAGATGCAGTTCGTAACCGTTTGAAATAAAAAACATACTTATTACCCCAAATATCTCTAATCTATTTGTATCTAAATTGTGAATTATTAAACCATCGATCGGTTGTAAGTAAGTAGTCGCTCATTGCTGGTCGCCCGCACACCAGTGTTGCCGTTAAATTGAAATAAAAGTCGCTAGCTTGTTTTGTCAAAATAACCGTTCCCTTAAAATCCGCTGGAAGTCGCTAATCGGAAAATTGTAAATAACTTCGCATTTAACCACCAATACATAGCAGCAATCCTCGTCTCCGGCAGTATACTAAGCTAAAGTACACTAAGCTCTTGCTAAGGTTTACAAATCTTCCCTGGTCCTGTGAATAATGTAATTTGCTTATTTATTGAAATCTGAATTTATTTCAAAAATTAAGCTTTTAGCTTTCTATTTTTTAGTTTCTGAATGCTTCTTTAAATCATTATGTTTTACAGACATTTGTTAGTGGCAATAGCTACACACCTGGTACAGGTTTAAACCCACGTTTGAATTCTTCAGATTGATTGATTGGCCATTGAAGTGAGGGCTCTCTCGCTTGGTACCATAATTACGGCCATGGTATGGAGCGAGAGCGCGTAGCGCTCTGCCGTCACCTTCAGTGAGCAAGTTTTGCTTGCGAAGGAGGTGGCAGAACGGGGCCGCGAGAGATCTAGAACTCTCCCGGTTCGCTAGGCTCGGGAATGGGCCAGGTACCGCAGACGACTTAGGCACCAGAAGTCGCAGAACGACCTCCGTCCTCCATAAGCGCAGGCCTCGGGATGAGAGGTGAGGCCATATGTCACCCTAGCAGAAACAGGCCGGGTTGGCGGTGTGACGCGCTGTGGAGGGTGACACACGACACGCATGCCTTTTAGTGTGTGAGTTACATCCGTACACTGCACATGCGCACATATTCCTGTCTACGTACAGTCGAGTCGACTGTAGGTACATGCGCAGACCTGTGTGCTCAGCTAACTTCAGAGCCGCCGTTAAGTTTCAGTTTAAAGATCTTTATTTCTCAAAAAGACAAATGTCACTTACATGAGAACATTAAATTGGACGTAAAAAGTAGTAGATAAACGAAGTAATTGTTGACGACGTTGTGATCTGAGTTCGCTACGTTCAAAGTCAGGTGGTGCAAGGTAAGGATTATAAGCGACTTATATTTCTAATTTTTAACACTACTTAAAATATAAGTGTAAAGCTTTTTTTAATATATTCAGCGAGGTCGCTTCCTTAACGTCTGCTGGAAGTGCATTGTTTAGCTGTGCTCTCACAAATGTCAAAGAGTTTTTGCCATAGTTGGTTCTTACTGTTGGTAATACTAGGTAATTCGCATGACGAGATGAATACTTTGTTGTATTTCCTTTTGTTGTGAAAATTATGTGAGTGTATGTGTTTTTGAATAATTTTGTATATAAGTGCATATGCATATGTTACCTATATGTATGGAGTTGCTGGATATTCATAGGCCCAGTTTCTACAAATATAGTCTTTGTTGGTGATAAGTAGTCATAATGGTATCAGATTCTTATAATTTTATTTTGTAGTATTTGGATTGGTTTTATATTAGTTTTAGTTGCGTTACCCCATATTTCAATAATGCGATCAATGCGGTGTACTTATGTGTGCAATGTGTGCATACCATGTCAGTCCAGTTTTGTCCAGTGTTAGCCAAGGTATTTTCTTGCGTTGTTTCTTCAAGAATTTTGTTCATTTATTGATAAATTATCATAGTTGCTTATTTTTAGCGCAAAATACTATATATGAAGTTTTTGAAATATTGATTGTTAGGAGGTTGTATTGGAACCATTTGTGCAAAATATTTAAATCATCTCGAACGTGTTGTACAATTACGTTGAGATTATGTCTAAAGTAGAACATACATGTGTCATCTGCCTATAGTGAGACTTGTCCATGTAAACTTAATTCGAAGATATTATTGATATAAACTAGGAATATAAAGGTCCGAGTATTTATAAGTTTGCATCGGATTATACCACGCCGATGGCTAAGAAGAAATCCTGGTTCATTTCCAACGAGATCTCACGACTCCTGCAAGAGAGGTTGGCAAGTCCCTTGGAATGTTCTAATTTAAAGTAGGTGTGGAATCGTTCGTATCTACGATAGCGGGTAAAGTTAAGAAGAGATTATAAAAACACTTTTACAGTAGATATAAGTCACATATATTGTTCACAAGCACGGGAGGAGTAAATACAGACATGGGCTGAAAGTTTACAGTACAAAGCAGAGAAGAAAAGTGAGAAATGGAAAATTACAATAAAAACGATTCGATTCGCGTTAGTATCGTGTAACGTAGTGTAACGACTGGCGAGGCAGGATAATCCGATCGCGCACGATTCAATTCCGAGCGCCTCCGTCACCGTCGTCGCTCGGCGCTGCACTTGCCGGCCGCATTTAAAATGATTCTTAACAGACTTCGTTAAAAGGCGTTCGTTATGAGTATTTTTAACCGACTTCAAAAAAGGAGGAGATTCTTAATTCGACTGTTTTTTTTATGTTTGTTACCTCAGAACTTTTGACTAGGTGAACCGATTTTGATGACACTTTTTTTATTTGAAAGCTGGTGCTTTCCGTGTGGTCCCATTTTTGGTCCAATTCGGTTTAGTTCTGATAATGGCATCCATGAGAAAACCATATAAGTCTTAAATTTGCATTTAGTATGTTCGCGACAAATAGACGAATAACTCAATATCACGCAAACCGATTACGATAATTCTTTTTTTATTTGAATGGATGTACTTTAAGGGTACTTTGAAGACACCGACTCCAAAAATAACAATAATTGTAACTACATTATATTCATTTCATTTTACTTAGGAGAACTCAAATAAATATTTTGATCGTTGTTTGTTATTCACAGGTATATGTTAAGTTAGATTTAAAGTGGGTAGGTACCTAGGTACCTACCTTCTTGCGTGGTAAACACATAGATCGTACCTACATATTGATGAGTAGAAAAAGTAAGTTGATTATTAAGTTGTAGAAGAATATGAATTTATTTGTTTACTTTTTAGTGCACATTTATTTGTTTTGGAATAGTCTATTTTGAAATCGGTTTTTTTTTGTTTATGTGTGAACACCACATAGGTATGGCAGGTTGCTCATGAACCTGGACGTCATCCCTATCACTATATTATAGGCTGTAGAGATAAGGAGCACTATCTTGTATGAAAGGCAAATCAAGAAAGTGTCCACCAAAAGGCAGCATGTAATAGTTCTAAAACCAACCAGAGGGTCTAGTGCAAGTTTACTTCACTTCCACACGATCGTATTAATTAATAATATGTATTAATTTAAAAAAAATTAGTAGCGCCCCTAATTTAACGCATTTTGACGGACACTTTTTATACACAGAGATGGTTCTCCTTACCTCTACACTCCTTTCACTATATTATATTAGTTTAAAATCGGTCCGCAGATGACAGGAATTTCGGGAACTAACATAGAATCTCCTTCCGTCCTCCTTTTCAGTCAGCTAAAATTAAATTACAAATTTAAAAAACCCCCGACACTTCTTGGATTTTTATATTGTTCAAAGTAGTAGTAAAGTGTAGTAGTATTCTACTATTCTACTAGTCAAGCCCTTTCATTTGATACCCATATTGAGGGAGTTGTGAAAAAATATATAATCCGCCATTTTCTGGCGACGGCCATCTTGGATCGATCTTCATCAAACGGCTAAGAATACTCCCGACTAAATCATCTTTCAAAAAATGAAACAAAAGCAAAATCAGTTCATCCGTTCGGGAGCTACGATACCCCAGACAGACAGACACGTCAAACTTATAACACCGTTGTTTTTGCGTCGGGCGTCAAAAATTATACATTGTCTGTAATTCGATCAACGTGTAATATTAACGCAAGTTTATTGTACCTATAATAATTGGATTAAGGCACACATCATGTACTTACATAGTAATTTTTTATTTATATCAAATAGTTTTTGTAATAAACTTGAAATTTGCCAACCCAGATAGATTTTTTAAAGGTAACTTAAATTTTCAGCAATGCTCTGTTATGAAATAACTTCAAATAAAACTTTATACCAATGTTTTATTTTTTATTTTACTAGTTTCAAGGTTACCTACTTAAAATTACTTATATTTTATTAACGAATTGCGTTAAGTACCTACTCAAACATATTATTAAAATAAAGAACATTTCTGCCATTTATTACCCTAACCTCTTAGTTACATACTTACGTTAAATGATACGTCTGATGTAATTCAATTTAGGTATATCCATTTTGTATAAATAAGCTTAAAAGGATTCATTTTTATTGATTATATGATCTATACTGAACTCTGAAATTTCTACATCACTATCATCTTTTGTTGTGACCCTTCTGGGTTTTACAACAGTTTTATGATTTCCAATTATACTCTCAGAATCATCTAAAATGGAACTGCCAAGACTTGTATTACTGCCACCACCAGTACTGGCGATTTTTATCAAGTTCCCCGTTAGTACATCCACTCGACCAACCGGAGCCGTCTGGGTCTCATTACGCCGCGCCAACTGTGATTCAATTTTTTTCTTTAATTCAGCAATCTTTGGGCTGGTACGAGTAACATTTTGAATTTTTGTATCGTTCTTCAGAGGTTCATTTTCTATGCTGTAAAAGTAATTCAGCGTGAATTAGATTAAAATAAGCAGTCGACGTTATATCCACTATGTTTTAAGACTACGCCCCAATGTTCTATGTTTACGATCTTCACTAGTGCAGAGTACCTATTCATAGTCAAAAAATAAGGTGATTATTTGTAAAAAAATAATAAAAAAATAAAACGTGACGAAGGAAAAGTTGGACCGAGCCGTGAAGCGACTCGCCGCCCGCAACACCGCCCTGGGCCATAATTGGATCCCGGGCCGATCATGGGTGTGCGCTTTGGTGTCCTAGGGAATAGGCTGAGGCGGCTGTTTACCAGTTGCCTCCATAATAGCGTATTCCCTGCCGGCTGGAAGGAAGCCGGGTTGGTACTTATCCAAAAACCTGGCAGGACTGCAGATTCTCCCTCGGCGTTGCGACTGATATGCCTGCTGGACGAGGTGGCGAACTCTTTGAAAGAGTCACCCGTATCAACCAGCACCAGTCACGAGTGAGCCCCGACACGTTCAGAAGGGGGAACAAAGGTCGAGGTCGGCCTACACATCAAATAGGAGACTGGACAGACGCTGGAGCTTTGACGAGCATTTCGAGCGGGCGAGCCCCCGAGTTCGTGGGGTGGCGGGCTCCCTACAGAGACTGTTGTCTTATCTAGGGGGTCGGCGGGAGGAACTTTGTTTCTACTGTTATATCGATATTTGCCAAGTGCCTATCTGCCTCTTCCCGCTGCCGAACTACGCTCAATCAAGCGCAGCGGGTAGCGGCCACTAGGACCGTAGGAGGTTACCGCACCATTTCGACGGATATGGACGCGAGGGTCTATGACCAGACTTGCTCGATCCGCCGGGGTGAGGGCGGGGAAGACCAGGATAAGCTCAAAATGCGGCGGAACGCTCACCGACAGGCACTGGTGCCGAAACAGCCGCGGATATCAAAAGGCCGGCCAACGCGCTGTCGGTGCTGTTCTGCCTACCGGGTACTCACTGGGCATGGTTTTTTTGGTGAGTACCTGAATGGGATTGGACGCTAGGAGACGGCACAATGACAGCACTGAGCATCAGATTGGAACTCCGTCCAGCATACGCTGCAAGACTGCCCTACGTGGGCTTCTGAACGCAAGGTCCTAGTCGATCAAATCAGACGAGACCTGTCCTCGCCAGCAATCATTGCTGCCATGCTGATGGGTGAGGAGGGCTGGGCCGCAGTGGTCTCCTTCTGTGAGGCTGTAATGCTCCAGAAAGAAGTCGATGAACGGGATCGGGAGACTGCGGTAAGGTACATGGGGGCGGCCTGACTGCATCAAAATGGGATTGGGCTCTTAGATTAAGTGAAAAGCGGGGAGAAGCTTCTGGCTTCCCTCGGGATAGGGCCTAATAGGTGCGGCGTCGATCAGGGGTGGGCCTGAGCTTTTCACCCCCTCACCAAAAAACAACAAAAAAAAGTTACATCTGTTGGAAGCTTACTATGCTTAAGGTACTATGCTTAATAACTTTTTAAAAGATCTCCCGCACTTGAAATGTAATAATATCCTGTGTCGCGGGGGACATTACTTAGATTACTACAGGTCAATATTTCAAGATTATAGATATATTTTCTATACGATGATATGAAATATATTTATTCGTATCCATAGTAATCCATACAAATACCAACCTGGATATGTCCCACTCTTCACCGTCAAGGTTGACAATGCCTAATTCGTATTTTTCGTTACCGTCACTTTTTTCTGTTAGGCTTTGCGATGGGGAAGCACTGACCGATTTCATTTGTATAGCGTCCATATCGAAGAATACTTTCTTTTTGTTTAGGGAAGACGTTGAAGAAGCATTTTTTAAAACACTTTTTGTTTGTTTGGCGGTATTTTCAACATTGTCATTCAAAAAAGCGTTTTTCTCTAGAACATCCGAAAACGACTCTACATCGTCGCTGCTATTATCATTTTCTTTTGGTTTTACCACTGGCTTTGGTGGTGCTTTAGGTAGATTATTTAAATTATTAATATGTGGGAGTAAATTTGTTGCTGATTGTGTACGTAACAAGTTTTCGTTGCTGATAGTAAATTTCTGAACAGTCTGATTATATTCTACCCCGGCAGACGAAGGCCTTCGAGCTGGAGACTTAATAAGAGTTTCAATTGATTTAGATGATTGTTGTACACTTGTTGTATTATAGTTCTTCCGATCAGTTCCCTCCGAAAGTTCTTCAGAACCACTAGATGATATGGATGTTTGTAGGGCGTTGAACGGACTGGGCGTTTTTTTCTCTTCCATCGACATATTTTTGGATTTATGATTTATTTTAACAGTTTCGTTGGTATCTCTGGGCAAATTTTGTGAAATATTATATGCCTTTATTGGACTACGTTTTGTGGTAACAGGGCTAGATGATGCTGATCCAGGAGGGGTCTTTAGTAAAGACAAAGCGCGTTTTGCGACCTCAGCATTTTGTGATTTGTGCTTGTCTTTCACTTGCGAATCACTTAATTTTACAAAGGACAATGCCTTCGATTTGACGTTAGATATAACAGATGATAAGTTTTTTAAAGATTTGGTGACTTTTGTAGGAGATATGTAATCGGGGACTTGAGTAGCTTCTTTTTTAAAACCCATTGTACTTGAATCCAGAAATGTCAAAATTTGATGTCTCACTTTATCGTGATTAGGATTTTTCTGAAAAAAAAAAGAAGAATATGTGTTTATGTAGACAGAACATGTTTAGTTAAATATCTTATAAATATCTCTTGTCTCACGGTATTTGTTGTCGCACTGCTCCGAAACGGCTTGACCGATTTTAATGTTTTGTTTTTGTATAATAGGTATGAGAATAACGACCTATTATTTTTCACCCTTCCAACAACACACCCCAAGACACAGACGAAGTTGCGAGGGTCAGTTATTTTAACTATAAAATTTTTGTACCCATATATAGGTTACCCATGTACATCAAATTTAAAAATCCATAAAAACTAACTTCTAAAATTTAATTATGCAAAGTTTTTCAAATTTGTTTTATGGATTTTATCATTAATGGAAGGAATCATCCCAAAATAAACACTTCGATTTAAAATGTGTCACTTTACACATTTTACCTGGTTTTATGAGAAAGAAGAGGGATAATATCTGAAATAACCTAAATAACCTATAAGTGTTTTTAGCTAGTGTTCCATTTTCATGGACATTCTATACATGTAGATTAAGTATATGGATAACTTTTATTTACCTTCGATTTAAGTTCTTGCAGTTGATGAAGTTGCATGCGTTGTTTTTGGAATATATTTTGAGGCAGTCTCGATTTCTGTATGTCTACACCCGCAGACACTAAACGATTGTTTACTTCTTCCGTTATTTTTGCTCTGACTATTTTCACTGGGCTGTAACAAATCAGTGCAGTTGATCATTATGATATTAAGAGCCTTTATAAAAGCACGAGGTCAAAAGAAATCTTATGTATAAGGATTCTGTGTTTAAGATGCTCAGGTCTGTGCTCAATTAGAAATATATTCGCTTTAAAATAAATTAATAATAATAATAGTATATCTCACACACTCACACACGGCCGTCTGATCCCAAACTAGGCAGAGCCTGTACTATGGTAACCAGACCGCTGATAAACATACTTATATATTTCTAAATACATACATATTATAGATAAATTACACCCAGACACAGAACAAATGACCGTGCTCATCATACAATATTTGTCCTGCGAGGGAATCGAACCCACGACCTCCGGTTTAGCAGTCAGGGTCACTAACCACCAGACCAAGAGGCCCGTCAATTACTTAACTGTATCAGATTATAGATGGCTAGCTATGAACAAAACTCAGTAAATATTTAGGCATAAATACAAACCTGCCAGGCAAAACATTAGGACCGTTTCTCTTCAATGATTTCATTGATTGTTTAGTCTTTGATTTGCCTTTATATTTTGGTCCATTTTTAATTACTGAATTAGAAGCCTTGTTAGGAAATGTGTTCGGAGGTTTTTGTGGTTTATTCTCACTTATTTTAGACTTATTAACAATATCACTATTTAACACTTTACTAGCTTTTCCGAACCGTGTGGTAATATCTTCTGGGCTCAAATCCTTTCTTTGTATTGGCTTTAAATGATCAATACTGGAAGTATCTGAAGAACTTGATGTAACAGAAGCAATATTAAGCAATTCCTGTGCTTTTTGATGAAGTTTTTCTAGACTGTCACGCTCTTTCTCTAATTGATTACCTTTGATATTTTTTGAGAGTTTCAGTGCTTTTATTCTGACATTGGAGTTATGGGTTATTTTTTCAAGAGGCTGTAATAAGATTTGGGTATCAATTTCAAATTATAACAAGAAGTTTAAAAAAAATGATACCTTACCAAAATTACGGAACTTACCACTACATCATCATTACTTTCAACATGTTCATGTCTTTTAGAGTCCAGACTCTGTTGCAATAAGGCTTTCAATTGCTCTGCCCTTTCTTTCTCGGTTTCAGCAAGATTACGAGATTCTTTGGCATCATTAGCGACATCGTTCAATTTCTGAAGCAATAATTCATATTGCTTAGACTGATCTTCGGCGCGATTAGACCAAAATGAAACTTGAGCTTCATATTCTTTGTTTCTATTCGTATTTTCTTTTTCAGCTCTCATTCTCTAAAATGGTAAAAGTTTTGATTAGTTCTATCTAGGTCCTTTAGATTTCGTAAACAAAAACGAAATGTACTAACGGAATCATTCAATTGTTTCGTTAAAGCTAATATTTCATCGCCTTGCTGTTTTATAGTTTCATGTAGTTGTTTTATTTCATTTGGTTCAATAGAAAACTAAGTTTTTACTATCATTATCTTTGATAGTACTAATAGTTTCCATTATTTGACTTCGTAACTTATTCATTTCTTTATTATAATTTGCGTATTCCTCTTTTTTCCATTCTTCTATTTTGTTTATTAAGTATTCTTCATTGCTGGTTGATACTTCAGCGTCTTTCATTTCTTTTTTTATTTCATTGATGTTATTATTTTTATTTACACTTTCACTAACAGATATAGTTGCAATTTTTGTTTCGGCGACACTAAGGTGATTATTTACTTGGTTGGTAGTATTGGCGATAACGATTTCCATTTCTTTAATTTTATTTTTAAGTTCCGTAACTTCGGCACTTAATTTTGTATTTTCATTATTTAAACTGTTTTGGTGAATATCTTTTTGAGGAGATTCTATAACATTGCCATGGCGTCTAGATATGTGACTTTTTAAATAGAGTTGATTTAGAAATACTTTATCACAATAATGACACTTGTTGTACTGCATTATATCATTTGTTGGCAATGGAAAGATATCACCTTTTTGCGAAAGAGTTTTTAAAATCATGGTTGCTATGTTGTCATTGCCATAAGGTAAAGTTGTTTTCATCGGATGGCGGATTCTTTTCCTTAATCTTCGCAATTCATCATCTTTTTCTCGTAAATCTTTTTTACAAGCATTAAGTTCCTATGAAAGTAGAAGGAGTTTGTTACTAAATACACATTTTGAAGTACAAAAAATGAAAAATGACTCTATTTAAGTTACCTGAGCTAGTGACGTTACTTCATCTCGTAATACATACACACTACGGTCTAAATAATGGCGGCAGAATTGTTGGTATTCCACAGCTAGTTGTGCCAATCTAAAAATTTTCATGACTCCTTCGTCAAGAATACGAACATCGAATTCAGACTCGAACACACAGTCTAATATCTGTAGATGTATTAGAAATTAGCAGTTAGCACTAAGTAGCCTTTTTATGATTATAATAAAATTAATAAGCAATAGCTAATACATACTTAGAGCGTCTCATTCAATTCACTAAAAGATAGTCACCCTTGAACTAAAACGTTTATTAAATAGTGATATTTCATAAATTTTATTTCTTTCTTGTTCAAACTAGGTTGGGGTCAACTTTAAGTCTACTATGATACGGCGGAACTACGATTTTTAACGCGGAGCGACTGCGTTCAGACTTCCACACATCAAGTACTAGATGGTATCAAAGTTTTGTAGAAACACTTTATTTGGCTCCAACTAACCGTAACGTAACACAGATGTTCGTATGGCAACGACTAACGGCTTAACGTGATCGCCGAGGTACGGAGGGGTCTCAATGTGTTAAGAATGGTCACCCATCCATAGACTGACCTGGGTAGGATTGCTTAACTTTGTAATGTGTTAACCTACTCAGTTACCACTTAGCCACGAGCCCCGATGTCATAAATTGTATTATACTGTAGTAATACGGCAATAATTACAAGGTACCTAAGAGTAAAAGTAAAAGCATACGAGTAGATAGACGTAAAAAGGATACAAAAAAAAACTTCTACCTCTATATTCTTAATAGGACTCCCGTTCGTGGTGACACAGTTCATTCGATGTGTATGTACCCCGTTATAACTTTACTTTATATACTTTAATACCTATCTGAGGGTTAAGCAGATGAGTGATGTCTACACGGAGCGGCATACGTGAGGTTTCGAAAAAATAAACGTAGGTACGCTATGTCTGGTTCAAACATTTTATTTAGATAAGGGACTGTTATATTACTGTACCTGCTCAGTATAAATTATTAATTAATCGTTGGTTTATTTTCTACAAGTTTATGATCTAAGTGAATAATTTTATCAGTAGGTACCCTCTAGATTCTAGATACCCCTCAGCAGACGGCTCCTTTTGATGATTTGGTTATGTCGGACTCGGACAAACAAACCGCGCGCTGTCTCGAGTACCAGTAGCCGGGGAACCAGGTGTAACCTAGAAAGGAAATCCCTGGCACCCTGACGGACCCTGGGCCTTACGGATGGTACCCTCGTGTAAAGTAGGTTCCCTCCCTCCTAACCTAGTTTACATTCTATTAATTGTATAATTTGTTGCAATGTGTTAAATCTAGCAATATGAACTTACGTCATTTAGATGTTGTTCGATGACATAGAATTTTCTTTCTTTTACCAAACTATCTATATCTATCAGTCCTGTAACAATTAAAGGAATACTTTTAATTTTATGTTTTAATTGGCAAATAAATACATGAAGGAAATATCCTTACTGATTTTATTCCAGTCTATATGAATTCTGGGACGATGTGTGTTGAAAGTAAATCCAGCTTCTTCAGCTAGTTTTGGAAAGTGGTGATGAAGTTCAAACGATGCTTTACACGCCATGGTTCAGATATGATTTTTAATTCCAAGTAGGTATGTAGGCTTATAAAAGCTTTAATATTAACTGAATCACACGTCACAAAATACTACCGATGACAACAAAACAGGTTAAAACATAAATGACGCCATTGTTGTGGTGAACATGGTTGCCTAGCAACAGAAACCCGAAAGATTCACGAACATAAAGCGGGGCTTACAACACAGTGTGACCAAAGAGAATTTATAGCATTAGAATGAGAAATGGGATATATGTTTAGACTCCAACCCACCTAATGATGATAAGTATGGATGAGGTGTACGTTGTTCGTTAATAATTATGAACCAATTATTATTTTTCCTGTATAAATTTCTTAATTAACTCTTTAATTTCCATCTGCATTTCATATCCTTTATCTATTCCTGTACTCTTCAATTCCAATTCCAGTCGTCTTCAAATACCTGTGTAATGTTTTTTGCCTTTTTTACAACAATCTATAGAGGTTACGGATCTATTCATTTATCACGCTTCTTCTTCTTCAGAGTTTAAAAGTAAGTAGCGATATAAGTAAGTAAGTAGCGTGAGCCGTTCAAATGTATCTATTTTATGGTTTATGTGGAGGAACGGATGTCATGTCCCTCCAACACAAAGGGAGGATCCTCCGACCAGGTGGACCAGGTGATCAAGCCTATAGTTGTAAGGTTCAATTGAACCAATCCGTTTAAATCGAAAAAACCTAAAGAAGATTACTACTACCGAAACTACTTTAAAACCGAAATAAACCACTTTTTTCGATTTAAAACGGTTGGTGCTGATGACTATGTTTTTCTTAATTATAACTACATTTTCTTGATTTTACCGAGGTAAGAATATGATGGAGTACCTATAAAGTGTGAAAAGATTTTTTATATGTGTGATATTAAACCTTTAACTCCTTTCTAAGGAGAGACTTATGTCCAGCAGTGGACTATTAAAGGCTGTTGATGATGATGATGATGATGATATTAATATACTTAGCGGGTTTAGTTCTAGTTGGTCCGTCCAACCAAGCGTAGGTATTACCTACCTTTTGTTTTTTTTAGGTTATAAAACCTCTATTAATAAGTTAAAACTCTGTGTTGATAAATATACATTTTTTTCATTGTTTTCAAACGATATTAATAATCAATTTGATTCGGTTTAAAACCAAAATCACACTCTCGCACTCCCGTTGACGTTGTTGACTCTTTCATATGCAAGTAAAAAGGACGGCATTGCGTTAATTATGACTTCTAATCTAGTGTATAATATAATAGAATAAAAAGGTATAGGTAGGTATACCTACATACTTAAGTTTTCGTGTAGTAGGTGATTTAGGTAGGTACTTTCTATTGATTTTCTATAAACTAATTAATAACGAAAACATGACGTCATGCGACTAAAAATTGCCCATAATGAAGTGTAAAACACAGTTCTTTTATTTTGGTAGACGGATTTTCAAAAGATATATGCTATATAAATATGCTGAATATGAAATATGCTATATATATATATATATATATATATATATATAACTACTCCGTAGTTCGGTGTGTCGTCGTTAGATGGCGCTGTTGTATGTTTCTGTTTCTTTGTATGTGGGAGTGGCCACAGTCATACTTTAATGTAAATGTATGTGAACAAAACATATTGACAAGCATAAGCAAGCCATACTTTAACCAGTAATCGTTCATTTAAATTATGGTAATTAAATCTGATAATGTTGGACCGGCTTTTATCAGCAAACAGTAGAGTGCAATAATTTAGTTTATTATTTAGTTAACTTTCTAAATGATAATAGGTAGGAAATTTGGTGGGATTATCTTGAATAAAGTATTTTTGCTTAGGAGGACAATGAATGACAATTGTTATGTAGTTATAAACCACTTTGCTAACTTAACTTTATTCGTCCAAATTACATAGCATGTTTCGTCATATTATCTATAGCATTTCCTAAATCTAAAAGGAGCAGTCTCGTGGATAGGGGGTAGCCTGGTGACATACGATTGCGTTGTACAATATACATAGGTTAGGTTTTTTTTTAATTTTTTGTATGCCCTCAGCCGTCGAGATTTAAACAAAAATTTAAGGTATAATAAAAGTGTGCAAGTTCAATTTGATACACAAAACGTGAACTCAAAATACGCAGGTGCCAATTTGTATAGCGAGCATCCTGCATATTTTGCACCTAGCCCACGCTCTGTGGCCGAGTTGTACGAATGTAAATGTTTGCGTATAAAAATAATAATTATCATCGCGTTGGCAGAGTCAAGTGTCCTAGAAATAGCAAGCCCAGGTCATTGGTGTGTCGTCGAGGAGGCCGCAAAAGGTTGCTTAAGCGGCAGGTTTCTCCTTAGAGACAGCAGTGGCTCCAGAAGCGACAGAGCCGGTCTCCTGTGGCGACGTCTGGCATAACAGCGAGGGGAACTTCTTGTACAACTCCGCGCGGTATTTAGGATGGCTGAAAATATCACCATTATTAATCAAAATGCATTATAAAATATCTTTAAGTACACGAGACTTTATTCAGTTGGAACACCTACCTAATACCGTATACAATAGGATTGTAAACGGCGTTAGCCTTTGCGAAGAGTGAGCCCCAGATAGTAGCCAGAGGACTGATAGGCGCACTCTCGAAGACACCGGTGTAGTTGATCACGAGATATGGAGTCCACGCCATGAACCAAAGGGAGATGGTCATTAGAGCAACCTGAAAGGATTTTAGTAATAAGTTTACAAATATTAAAGTTTTTTTTTTTATTAATAAAGAACGTTGTTCACCTTAGCTAATTTGCACTCTGCGCTGGTATTGGCTGCTTCGGATGATCTCAGGGAGGCGACATTCATTTTCTTAGCTTGTTCCCTCATGGCTTTTTCGTGAGCTGCTACAGCCTATAAGGCATTGGTGTGTAAAAAAATTGATTTTGAAATTAACATATTACTTAATAACAAATATTTAAAATATATTTTTTTTACCTGGACGATAAAGAAATAAGAGTAGATGATTAGCAGGAGAGGCATAAAGTATACGAAGACGGAGTAGACCAAGATGTAGCTGCGGCTTAACCAATCTTTTGCCAGATAATCAGTTCCGCATGCAGTCATGTTTCCTTCAGGCACATAACTGTAAAAAAAATATGATAATTTATAATATTATTAATAGGTTATTTGTTAAAGTTTCGATTTCGAGTAACTGCTGTACTTGTTGTAATAGGTAAATCATTATTTATAATATTTTAATAATAATAATTTTTAATAGGTATATTTATATTAAGTATTTGAATATTACCGGTTCCAGCCGAAGAAAGGGGCAAGAGTCCATGCAAGCGAAAAGGCCCAGATTCCGAGTATGCGCAGAAGAGCTCCGCTATTGGTCATGGGTTTGGCGGCGATACCCTTTACAATAACGTTGTAGCGGTCGAAGGCAATCATTGTCATGGTCCATATAGATGCGCATCCGAATAAAGAACCACAGCAAGCGTAGATTTCACATGCTAATGGACCTGCGTAACAGCATACGTTCAAAATAGATTTTCTTGTATTTGAATAACGTTTACGAAAACACATGTCTATACTCACCCCAAACCCATGTTTCGTTATAACAATTGACAACCATAGCCGGAGACATAGCGCACATCATAAGGAAGTCAGAGAAAGCGAGATTTACTACCAGTAAGTTCGAGGGAGTTTTCAGGCTCTACAAAAAGGGAAACGGTCACACGTTTGCTTTATATTAATTGTATTCAGATTATAGTTTATAAAAATAATATAAACCTTGGTAGACATGAAAATATAGATGACCATGCCGTTGCCAGTGATTGAGACGAAGCCAAGAACGCCGATAGTGAACCCCAAGAGACCATGCCAAAGTGGGTTCATGGGAGGAAACTGGTACCTGTAGTTTAAACCAATTCAGATTTATTAAATATAAGATGATTTCGCGGGCTTTTCATCACATCAACATCACATCAATTATTATTTAATTATTTAAGAGTTAGTTAAAAAGCCGGAAAGGGATTTCTAAACATACAATCTTTTTTGTACAATAATAGGTGATATCGATTATCAAACCTTAAGAGGCACGTCCCTAAGAAACGTGCGAATAAGCACTTACCATTTAAAAAAAATAAAGAAATACCCTAAATGACACTATAAAAAAATCTCATTTGCTTAACAGATGAGTCTACATTTTTACCGCGTGAAACTTATAAATTAATACTTTACTTTCCAGAAAAAAATCCTCAACATTGATCAAGATCATCGAAATCGACCTTTAAATTGATTTACTAAGTCGTACCAAAAAGCCATAATCTAAGCTAAACATCATTCATTTTTTAGCGAAAAAGGTCCATACAGACCGTTCACCATAAGATGTCCCCTGCCTTGGGAATTGGTAGCATTGCCAACGGTGTTGCCAACAATATATGTACCTCTTACCCCCCCATTATCTTGTGTGTAATGTAAAATTATTGTTTTGGCTTCCGTTGATCTAATAAAGATATATTTGTTTATCTTCAATATTTTCAAAGTGCAGATATCGACCTGGTTTATTTTTATTATATTTCTAGATAATATACATCTAAAAGATTAGGAAGGTTGTTAATGATGACACAATTTAAATTTTAATTTATTTATTGATTTCATTTTTCCTGACAGTAATTATGGTAGAAAGGAACGATTCCAGACATATCACTGTCACTTGCATAAACGTCGTCATCTGCCGTATCCGAATCTGTGCTGCTGTCATTTCCTAATTCAATTATGAATTTATCCGTAATATTATCCATGCAGCCATCACGTTCATAAAATTTGTCTTCTAAATGTTTTACGTGTTCACACTGTTTTTGCCAATCCTGAGGGGTTATCAAAGAAAAGGCTTCTTCAGTTAACTTCACGATATTACCAGCTTCTTGGCCGACATTATTGCTAGCTACTCGTCTCTTTAAAAGACTCCACATAAAGTCAATTGCATTTAAGTCACAGTGATAGGGGGGCAACCTAACCACTTAATGGCCATGACTTATCAATAATTGGTCAGCCTCATAAATCGGCGCTTCTTTGGGCTCTTTAATTTGATAAAGCTCTGCTTTCAACATTGTTGGTAAATAAGACAATCCCTTATTTGTAATCCATTCTTGCATTTGGAGTTTTGAGGAACTCATAGTAGGTGCTTTATTCACTTGTACTGTATGATAGGGAGCGTTATCCATGACGACTAACGAGTTCGGAAGCAAATTGGGTATAAGTTTATCTGAAAGCCATTTCATAAAATTTGTTCTATTCATATCGTCATGGTAGTCCCCTGATTTACTCTGTGATTTAAAAATTAATTGAGCACTAGAAATGAACCACATTTCTCCACCTGCATTAACAATAATCCATCGCGTTCCAGGAGAATCACTTGTTACCTTTTTGCCAACATTTTTTTTATGCATATGATGCGTGAATGTATGTTTTATCTAAGAAAACTATTGGCCGACCTTCTACACGATTTTGCCTCATAGTATCGATATACTTGCGTCTCCATGCAACTATGTCGTGTCTTTCCATTAAAATTTTCCGCTTCGAACCACACATTTTGTACTGAAATCCGATTCGTTTTAAAATTTTCCACAAAGTCGTTCGACCTCCACCAAAGTTTATATCATTCTTTAATTCAATAAGTAATTTATTCAAGGTAGGAACAACTTTTCTGACAGTATACATTTCATGGATTTTATTTCTTAATGCGCATAAATCGAAATCATCAAGATCTACCGTTTTACGTTTTTGACGATGTTTTCCAGGAGACTTGAGTTTTTGAGACGTAGAGGCAGCAACTTCACCTTTTTTAAATATTCTACTCACGGTTTTCTCCGACATGCCTGAAATAGATACATATATATATAATTAAATATTTGTATAAACACAACTAATGACAATATTATCGAAATAAATTAAATTTACTGAGATATGTACTTTTTTTATTTTAATTCTTTATGTCAGTTAATTCTTATTACCCATACTAAAGACATTGTGTCTGAAGCTGGTATCCCTATTTTACTAACCTGTCATCGCGGCGACTCGTGCTCGCACTTTATTAAGTCGAATTAACGGGGCTTGGTTTGCCTTTTCTCTCTCACAAAAGGCGCACCTTCAACACAATCTCTCTTGCACTGTTTTTAAATGGCTTTGGCATGATTAATTTGAAGGATATTAAATATTATCACAAAAACTAACGGAACACTTCACAACAGACAATCTGACAACAACAGATTGACAAGTAATAGTGCCAACTCCACGGCAGGCGACAACTTACGGTGAACGGTCTGTACATTTTAGTACGTAGAAATTATTTGCCGTAATATGCAATAAATAGTGCACTGGAACGTACATCCGAAAAGTTCGGATAAGCATAAAGGTGGGTTGCGACTTGCGAGTGTCGGACTCGTCTCACTAATGTTAACTTATATTCTTCGAGCAAAATTTAGTGGAACTAGGCACGTGAGTTTTATTTTAATATCAAACACAAATGTTAGTACTTATTATTTATTATATTAAATCGTAACTTATTTTTAAACCTATTTTAGGAAGATATGGAAAAACGCAAAAAAAATAAGGAAGAAATTAAGAAAAACAAAGCAGTAAGTATCCATAATGTATGCACTTTTTTACCCGACTGTACAAAGCCTAGAACGCTGTCTACCGATTCTAGAGCTTCGACGTAGTAACACAAACATCTTCTAAATGACTTTTTTAAAAGAACGAGTTACTGAAAAACGCATTGTACAAAGATATTCCTGTGATGGGCCTGTTGGTCTAGTGGTTAGTGAACCTGACTGCTAAGCCGAAGGTCGTGGGTTCGATTTCCACACAGGACAAATACTGTGTCATGAACACAAGCATTTATTCTGTGTCTGGGTTTAATTTTTGTATAATATGTGTGTATTTAGTAATAGGGTATATATGCACGTTTATCAGGAGATTGGTTACCATAGTACAGGCTCTACCTAGTTTGGGACCAGACTGCCGTGTGTGAGATGTGCGAAGTTATTATTATTATATTTCCAAAAAAACAGTAATAGTGATTGTTTCAGGAGACAAGAAGTTTCAGTACGGGATAGACAGGAACATTGAGGTTAGAGAGCCGATTAAATTGATGGAGGCTATTAAACAAAGAGAAGCTATATCATAAAGTTCTACCCCTTGGAAATAGAGTTTGTTATAGGTATACATTTTTTTGCTAAATATTTGTCAAAACAGATTGCTGTTATGGTGTGTGTAGATCTACGTCTTTAGAGTCTAAATATGAGGTGATTTTAAAATTATAAATAAATAATTTTATGAAATAAAGATACTTTGACTAAATCGCTTGACTTTATTTTAAACTGTGTTTCATCATCACCAACATTCTTTTGTTATAGGATGTTGAAAAAAAGGGTAAACCCTTTTTTCAAATAAATAAATAAGAAATAGAATATCATCTATGAAATCCACATTTCCCAGATCACACAGAATATTAACTTGAAAATTTCTTAGATTACTCCATAAAAACTAATTGTTTTAACTAGACTTGCAACGAATAGTATATTCGGCAGTATACCGAATACCGAATATTCGGCGAGGCCCCTGACCGAATAGCCGAATATTAGGCAAAAGTATTCGGCTGGATTTTAGCGCCAAAAACTTGTACAGACGTGAATTATATTATGTACCTGTTTTATGTAACAATGACTACTTAATAAATGATTATAAAAGAAATGAGAACCTTACCCTTCTAAATTTTGATTACCACAATAATTCAAATACATAGAATCCTACATTTTTTCAATTCAGAAGATGATTATGTACCTGTGTTATGCACCAATGACTACTTAAATGATTATAACAGAAATAAAAATATGAATAAATACGTAATCAATCGATTTTAATTTTTACCAATTATTTCTCAATGACAAAATATATTATTTAAGTATTCGGTATTCGGCCGAATAATATGTAGATATTCGGTATTCGGCCGAATATAATAAAAGCAGCCGAATAGGCCGAATACCGAATAGTAACCGAATATTCGTTGCAAGTCTAGTATTAACATAACATCCACAAAGCGTACACTTGACTAAATCTTTTGTCGTCGGCCAGTACGCAAAAAAATGTATAGCACATTTTTTTGCTAAATATTTGTCAAAACAGATTGCTGTTATTGTGTGTGTTGATCTACGTCTTTAGAGTCTAAATATGAGGTAATTTTAAAATAATAAATAAATAATTTTATGAAATAAATATACTTTGACTAAATCCCTTGACTTTATTTTAAACTGTGTTTCATCATCACCAACATTCTTTTGTTATAGGATGTTGAAAAAAAGGGTAAACCCTTTTTTCAAATAAGTAAATAAAAAATAGAATATCATCTATGAAATCCACATTGCCCAGATCACACAGAATATTAACTTGAAAATTTCTTAGATTACTCCATAAAAACTAATAGTTTTAACATAACATCCACAAGGCGTACACTGGACTAAATCTTTTGTCGCCGGCCAGTACGGGCCTACACACTACGGGCCTGCGAGCTTCGCGATGCGTTACGATGCATTGCGTGTTTTTTGTGACATTCATAATTACTATCTACCTTACTACAATCTACCTTATACGAAAACCGAAAGTATAAAGCTAATAAAAGAATGAAGTGCATGTAAAATATTAATGTGGGTATTCAATCTCGAGTTCTCATGCTTGGGGACTAGTCTTAAGTATTTCCTCTGGTACGTATTTAGATTTAGTAAATATGTATATACAGTACCTATCAAACACTAAGGCAAGGCAAAGGCATAACCTCAGGCATTCAGTATAGAATTAATTGCCTAGCACATCAAGTATTTAATTTTTATATGGTAGCGGATGGAATGTATGTTCTCCCTGTAAAAGCTCGCATATATGTTTCTTATCACACACAACACTGGTGGCAACTTTTGAATAAAATTAATTATTTATCACAATTGTCTTTGGAATTTTGACGTTTGGCATCATGAAATCCTATTTTTTAATTTAATAATCAGGTTATTAAGTGTGTAATTAGTTAGTGGAAGTTTTTAAAAACAACCGCAACTTCTTAAATTTAATGTTGAGTAATGTTTCACGTTCGTACAAGCACGACGAACGATTATGAAATTACTAAACTCATATAGCTATTTAAGAAATACTACAGTGTAAAAAGTTATGTACATTTATGCACTCACCAATGAGGATCGATCATGTGCAGCATATCTGGTGGAACTTTGTCCACGACGGTCTGATTAGATGATCCGTATGCCGAAACTTGACCTCCCCATGCTTGCAGAGCTGCCAATCCTGGCCCAGGATCCAGAGCCAAACCCATTTTCGTTGTAGTAACTTAAACCTTGAAATAATGCAGTTAATTTAAATATTCACAAGATTAACAGCAAAAAATATGATCAAGAAAATATTCTCACTTAAGCCAGGAAATAGGAGGCTAGCTCTGAGATGGTTAAGACTATAATACTGAAGAAAATCGTGTGGCGAACTACTCCAGTCTGAAATGTACTATAACCAACTCGTAATGCGGCAAGACTACCAAGGTGGGGGAGGCTACTCAACGCTTGCTGTTCTCCCAACGTGTTTTATATGCAGGCAGAAGGATTATGAGTCGCGTCATAAGAAAATCAATATTCATAATGAGATATATGTATCTAAGAAGGTGAACACTATGCACCCAAGAGACTACGGCAGTATTTCTACAGGGGTGTAACATTCAGTTCCGGTGTTTTACTCCATTTTGTTGCGTCCGTGTTTTAAACTTTTCGTTTAATTCCTAGTCACTTTAAGGCTTATGTTACTCTATAATTAGTGGTTGTGGGCATTTTTCGCAGTACGTATATATTTTTACCATCGAGGGTAGAATATGTAAATATCATCATCATCATCAACAGGCTATCACAGTCCACTGCTGGACATCGCAGGTCCATTCCGGGTACGGATGCTTTGGGAAGTACACTCGGTCGCTAGGAGGGAATTGAGTCCCGCCTGTCACCACTGAGGACTCCGCTCAGCACACGCTGGCAATTTGCCCGGCTTGGGAGGCGCCGGGTTCTCATTGGGAATGGACGGGAATGGACCCAATCCGTCGCCATCGAACCGGGCAGCAGAGGCGCGCTTATCACCGCCTCATGCCGCCCTGAGTGTGGCCGCGGGTGGACGGGACGGGTTTTCCCCTCCGCACGCCATAACGACGAGCCGCGAGGAGGCTACGTCCGTCGCTTAAATAGATAATGTACCCTAAATGTGGTGCCCGCGCCGTTGCGGCAGGCGCTGGGAGGGGTCCGGATGTCTTAATAACAGCAGTTCCCGGATCCCTCCTATTACAGGCGCAGAGTGGCATACCGTGTGGTTTTAGTCGGTCCGACTCCGACACACCACTCCACCGTAAACCCCGGTGGGGTGACGGCCCGAGGGGGTTTCCACACGTAAAAAAAAATATCTATTGCTGGACACTGGACATAGACCTCTCCCATTACACGCCACGCCACGGTCGATTTTCGGCCAGCCATCTTGCACAAATAATCACTATCACCACACACACATCACACACATATTGCATTAGCTAATTTCCAACCAAATTTTAATTGTCATATCAAAACCCATTCATAGCTAGAAAAAAATAAGGAATTTGGATACCAAAATAATTCAAGAAACCCGTAGAGTGGTCTAATTTACATGTATATTGGTTTACATTGGTTATACAAACCACGCTTTAATAACTCAAAAAAGTTCTGCATCGATTGAGCTCAAATTTTGACACGATTTACAACTCACTTCAAAGATTGTTTTTATCTATTTCGGCGGAGCGGGACCGGGAGAGGTTTAGAACTCTCCCGGCCCGCCAGGCTCGGGAACGGGCCAGGTACCGCAGACGACTCAGGCGCCGGAGGTCGCAGAACGACCTCCGTCCTCCATAAGCGCAGGCCTGGGGGTGACAGGTGAGGCCATCCGTCACCCGAGCAGAAGCAGGCCGGGGTGACGGCGAGCGCGTTATAAAGCGCGCGCGCCCTTCCGGGAGCACAAAGGGAACATGGGGGTTCCCACACAGGGGGGGCCGTCTACCCGCCGTAGATGGCCCGAGGTACGTCGGGGCATCTACGGCGCATCTACGGGGCACCAAAGATTTCCTTTCTAGGGTACACTTGGTTCCCCGACTACTGGTACCTGAGACGGTGTGCGGTTTTAGTCGATTCGAGTCCGATATTGCCACCGCTAAGTATACAGCAAAAACAGGAAAGAAAAGGGTACAGTTAGTGTATTATAAAATAATATGAGTAGAAACGGACGAAAACTTTAAACGGTAAACGGATAAAAATTGAAACGCTTTTAAAATATTGCTATCCTGATTAGAATACATGATTTCACTACACAGGATTTTGGAATACACTTAGTTATGCTATGTCGTCTTGTCTTGTCTTGTCGTCCCCATTAGTTTTATCATAGAGCAATTAGTTATTGTTTGCGATATTGTTTTATGAGAAATTGTTTTATAAAGATATTTATTAAGATGTTGTTAATAAACTGCTATTTGTTCATCCCTGCATTTCTAATGTGTAGTCAACTAATATCGTTATGAGGTCACAAAGAAGTAACTACCAACTTTACTTGTCTGCGCTAACAGGATTATATGTACCTACTAGCTGCCTGCCGTTTTGCCTACTGCGTGCCATCTTAGCGATCCGCCCCGGCTTCGCACGAGTGCAATGTATTACATCACATTACAAATCTTTGTAATTCTCAAATTTTATCTTCTTTGACTACTACCAAAATAACTAAGTTTCAAATAAATTACCCAAACCCCGTTTAGCACCCTTAGCGGTGGAATTTTTTAAATCCTTTCTTAGTGCACACCTACGTCACCTAAAGAACAATTGTACAAAATTTCATGCTTAGACCCAGCGGTTTCAGCTGTGCATTGATTTATCAGTCAGTCTGTCTGTTTCTTCTTTTATAGATATAGATAGAAGACCAATTTCTTTAGTACTCAGCTGAGTAGTTACTCGAAATGTTTAAGTTTGTTGATACTACTTGTCTTCGTTCTGTTCTGTTTATTTGTTTAATATTATTTTATCCCATACCTTTAAATTTTGTCAGCTTCGCCTATAATTCTATCCTTTTCAGGATGCCTTTCATAGCCATATTAATCAGTGCCGGTGCACTTCAAAACCGCTTAGTAGGAAACGGATTATATGAGATTAATCTGTTTTACTAATCGATGTTAGTGGTCAGATTATGAAGATTCATAAAATTATTAGTAAAAATTCTATTCACCAGTTAAGTAATATTATGGATTGACTTTGTTTTTTCTATGGTTTAACTAAGTTTTCTGTATTCTGTCACCTTTATGTTAGTAAGAAGATTGAAGGAAGGAAGCATGAATTGGAAGGCGAAATGATGCCCGCTCTCCTCCTTAGCAATGTTCCGTGAAGATCGTTTAAAATCTGTCAAGTACAAACTTCTTATATTTTGATACATCATCAGTGGTAGAAAATATAAAAAAGTGAAAATAAGTAAGTAAAAATATGTTTATATTTTGTATTTACAATTAATCTTATAATAACTTACATTAAACATAAATAAAGAGTACTTATAATTAAATCTTAAGGAAAACAGTAGGTACAGATTCTAGTAGTAACTTAATAATGTTATTTTTTTCTACGTTATTTAAATGCACAAAACACATCAGAAACATACTGAATATACTACATACGGTATATTTATACCCATTAATTTATATTTAATTAAATAATTTTAACAACAAATAAATTATTTCACTGCAAATAAACCAATTGTTTAACAAAACTAGTTCTAATAATTCGAAAATATACATCAACTGTGTATTACATTTTTCCTCAAATGCGCGACAAAAAAGTTGCTTTGTGTACGAAAATATTTTTTTTTCATATCAAATATACTAGAGGTAATACTCACACATATTACAGAATGTCTATTTTGGCCCCTTCGGTCGCCTACGAAACCAAGTTTCATATTATCTAAAAGAATAATCTGTCTTGTTTCGACACTCGTTTCGATAAAAGAATAATGATTCTTCTTTCAAAACTCTTAAATAAAATCTCTTCTGATTGATTATCTCTTTTATTAACAAACTAGCTGACCCTGCAATCGTTGTTTTGCTATTTACATTATTTTAAATATATATATATTTTTTAATTTCTTATAATCTGTTCTTAGCTGACCTCTACTCGGTGAAAAGAATATTCCTACCAAATTTCAAGTCTTTAGCTCTAATGGTTCCAGAGATATCGTGATGAGTGAGTATATACGTGGAAATCTCTTATATATATATTTGTCTCTTATATATATCTTATATATATATATATATATATAAATGATATCATTATAAAACATATATTAAATATAGCTCAATATTCAAAATTAACATATTAATGAATTTAACTTAATTATATTTGTTTCTTATTCACTAAAAGAGATTTTATTTACGAGTTTTGAAAAAAGAAACATTGTTCATTTATCGAAACCATTTTCGAAATAAGAATAATAATTCTCCTCTCGAAACTAGGTTTGTAATCCACATGATCGCCTCAGCTCTAAAATGCCAAGCTGCAGTATTGTCATCAGAATTACATAATACGACAATTAGAATTGACTTCTTAGACTTATTAAACTGGTTAGTTTGCTACTGTTTGTAAAACTGAGACAAGCGCGATTAAAATGCCTGCGTTCGTCCACCATTAAAAAAACAAAATTTTTAAATACGTTTATTTATATCCTATACTAGCTGACGCGCGCAACTTCGTCTGCGTCTCTCAATAGTAATAAATTTTCTCCGTTTTTGAAACATTCTTTATTGGTGCTCCGCTCCTATTGGTCTTAGCGTGATAATATATAGCCTATAGCCTTCCTCGATAAATGGGCTATTTAACACTGAAAGAATTTTTCAAATCGGACCAGTAGTTCCTGAGATTAGCGCGTTCAAACAAACAAACAAACAAATAAACAAAAACACAAATCTTCAGCTTTATAATATTAGTATAGATTTAATAATACTATGTTGTAGTGTCCTAATAAGTTTTCCCTTTTTTATCGTTATTAGGATCATGGTGTAGCTCATATGCAGCGGCAGCAAGGTCTCTTAAACTTTGTTCTGCCGCAGGCCCAAGCTGTTTCACCATGCGCGTTAAATGTCCTTCGTCTTCCTGTAGCAATTCATGCGGGTGACCACACTCCACTATCTTACCAGCCTCCATCACCTGTTGCAAACAGGGAATTATTGCCATAGAATCCGCTGGACCAAATATTATAGGCATGTATAGTCGTTAGTAAAGTAAAGGAAGCCACTTACAACAACACGGTTAGAATCTGCAACAGTATGAAGTCGATGAGCCACTGTTATGACTGTGCAGTCAGCAAAATTTTTTCGGATAGACTTCTGAATTAGCGCATCCGTACTGTGAAGCAAATGATGAACATAATTTAAGGGTCATACTCAGAAAAAATGTACATTTGGCACTTTTTTTTGTCCCACTACTTAAATAGCAGATTTAAAATTTGAACACTATGGCACATATTTTAAATCATGTTTACTTCTATGTTTAGTCTTTAATAGGATCTTTTTTTTATGAATATAATATTTTTGTCAAATCATAGTATAAATAGCATGGGTTTTTTTTATAAAATATTTCCATACATTTTTTTAATGTCTCAATAACGATTTATCTTAATAAAAGAGTAATTGTTACGACTATTAGTCGACTTACATAAGATTGACTGTAGTCATTTAGGTCTCTTTTAGTCCATCATTTAAATAGTAATACGATTTATTATTTAGAACGTTTAATAAAATTATCAAAATTCATATTAATGTTGTCCCAAACTTATTTCATTTCGTTACTCAGTGTTAGTTACGTGCGTATAATTCTGAACGCAGTTGTTCGAAACTGACGGGCAATAATTTTTCTACTATTGACAAAATTGCTGCTTTTTATAATTCACCGTACATACTACATACAGAGGTCATTTTGTTTTCATCCGTACACGGGAGTCATTGTGTTGAATTCGCATTTGGATAAAAATACTGTCAGGGTGATAAACGATTTGAATTTCGGTAAGCATATATGATTGATTGTACTATTTTTTGCCCACGTGTTAGTTTTAATAATATATAGACAAATAAATTCAGTTATTCTGTATACAATAAGTGGTACCAGCAGAATAATTTTTGGGGTTAGGTATAATATTTCAGAGTTTGTCTTCAGTTTTGTTATATTGCGTTATGTTACGAAACTGAGAAATTGTAAAGCTGAGTTTACGAAGTTACTCTAATTTGAAAAATTAATTATTATCTATTAAAATTTTATTACATTAATTTAGGGAAACAGAAGTGTCATCGTGGTACAATGAAAATGAAGGGCTTGATTCCCGAACGTGACGATATACATATTTTTGTTGAACTAAAAAAAAATACAATTGACTTATTATTTTCCTTTTTGTGTGAATAAGTACTTGAGCAGAGTAGTCAAGTATTTAGGATATTTTTATTTAATTATAATTCTATATTTATTTCTATTTTTATTTAACTATAATCAATAATATTATTATTTTATTAAGTTGATTCTTCAGTTACCAAAATATTTAAATAATGGAGCAGTACGTAACGGTGATATCTTTTTGTAACAAATTTTGTGTATATTATTTTTAAGAAATATTGTTATTACTTTCTTGCTTATTTTTTGCCAATTTGGTCTTAACGGTTCTTGACAACTTGTTTTCTTTAGTTGCTCGAAATATGTGTATGATTGTTCTAGTTATTTTTATGTTTTGAACAATAATTTGTAATTTAACGTGAAATTTATTTTAATTTGTAACTACTACCAAACCTACAATTGCATAGTATACTCGTACATACTGATTCATACAATTGAGTTTTTTTCATTATTTTGTAGCTGGATGGTCCCTCATAATAATTGCAATCAAGCCTTTAGGCGTAATGAGTAATTTAAATTTATTAGCTAAAAAATTATAGTATACTTAAAGAGTGCGTCTATTGGTACTTTTCTTATGGTTCCTACTCCAATGAAAATAAACTTTGTACTTGTTCTTCAAGAGTAGCACTCACTGCACTACGTCACACTAAGTTAACTGAACAACTAAAAAGGCTTAGGGTTCTTTAGTCTTAATGATATATTCGTATCGTTTGAATATTCACTTATTCCCCTCGGGTAGGATGAGCCTGATTAAGATTTCTGAGATATTATGTTTTTATTTAGATTAATTTATTTTTAAAAATATTAAAGAGCTTAAATATCTAAAACTGATGTTTTATTATTTTTTTAGCTTTAGTTCAGTATGTACCCTGCTTTACAATATCAGTTTCGTCACATTGATTCTCCATTTCGTTACTGATCAGTTTATTAACGAATTTTAATGGCAAATGTACATTTTTCTTAGTATGACCCTTAAAGCTATAGATAGATTATCATAGCAACTTTAAAAGATTTTGGTCAAATTTATCAATATATTTCTTTTTACAAAACATTAATATAGGTAGTTGAGTTAAAAATCAATTTTATTGTTATTTCTTACTCATACAAAAATAAAGAATAAAAATTAAAATATGATTAAAAAGATTATGACTATGAATAAAAAGTTATGTATGAGTCGTACTTGGGATCGACGTTCGCGGTAGCTTCGTCGAGAACAAGTAGTTTGTTGCGACCAAGCGCAGCTCGTGCTAAGCAGAGAAGTTGTCGTTGACCAGCACTGTAGTTTGATCCTCCTGATTCTACCATTTCGCTGAGAGAAGTTACGCTTTGCTTTAGCTCCACCTTAAATTACCAACAAATTATCAATAACAGGACCTTGAGTAAGTTCCCGTTGTTTCTTCAAAGATGTCGGTAGCAGTACACCGTGCATGGATTTACCAATGGTAATGCACATGCAGGTAAGTACTGTATCTAACGTTAAATTTCAGTGTATGGTAACTACCTTATGGAACCTCACTTTAGAGTAATTAAAATGTTTTTTTATTTGTTTAAAAAGGTTTATTTTGTGACAAATATTGCCGTGGCCTTGTCTCAAGCTTGTTTTTGGCCTGTTCGGGCCGAGGTTAGTGTTTGATGGCGTCGGAAATGTGTGCTTTTGAGCACCAAATGCGTATTCTGTCTAACAGGAGCGTCCTGAGTGGAGGTTTTGTTTTGTTTTTGTTTTTTTGTTTTTTGAATTAGGTACCTGTTCTAAAGCTTCCCATATTTCGGCATCTGTGTATTTATCGAATGGATCCAGATTGTACCTGAGACTCGCAGAAAACAGAACTGGTTCTTGAGGGATAATTGAAATTTTTGACCGCAGTTCCTAAAAAGTTAAATTATCAATAAGACGAATGATATTTATAATCACGATAAAGCTTTTTCTAGAAAAATTATTTACTTTCAAAGCAATGGAACCTGAATCAACGTCGTCAATAAAAACATGACCCTCAAGAGGAGCCAAGCGGAACAGCGCCGATATTAATGAAGATTTACCAGCTCCTGTACGACCAACTACTCCAACCTGTAAAAGGAGACATTAGGTGAGGTTGCAAATGAAAGGCTCTAAGATGATTATTCTGAGTTTCGTCAAAAACTTCTACTTCGAGTCTACTTCTAATATAAGTATACTCTTTAAAAATAATGTAATATGTAAAATACTAAATGCAATTTAGTAGTAATTTAGCCCAAAATCTATCTAAGTGGCGTGCAATGGGAGAGGCCTATGTCCAGCAGTGGACTGCGATAGGCTGGTGATGATGATGATGATGAAATGCAATTTAACCTTAGAACTACTTTCTATTCTTATATTTAGGCCCGAACATAAGCAGAAACTTAAATGAGTAATGAAAAGATCTCTTTAACCATTTATTAATTAAAGGTCTACATGGTTAAGGCAAAATTAAAATGCTTACTTTCCAACCACTCTCGATCTCAATGTTTAGCTTCTTGAGAACTGGGTCTGCATCCTTATCATATCTCAAAGAAAGGTCTTTAAACGTGAGTCTTGCTTTTTGTGGCCACCCTTTAGGTGGTGAAGGTCCTTCAGTAGACTCTTGTGGTAAACTTGTAAATTGGACTACTCGCTCCACACTTGTCATCTGAGATATAACTTCTGTCGTTTGCTTAATACCGTATTGCACCATAGTAACCAGAATTAAACCTTGACTGAGAGCTAGGCCTACATTACTTGATTGCGTGTCACCTGTTCATAATAAAAACGTAAAATAAATAGTAAATGAACGTCGAATAAATAATGATGAGGAATTATATATATGTATATATATTCAACGTTTTAACAATATTTAGGCTATCTTTCAGTATTCTGAGAGAATAATTTTTCTTATAATTTTTTAAACATATAATATCTAAAACCCGACGTCAAAAAGTGCAACTTTTCCTCAAATTTAAGTCTTGGAATATTGGGAAATAATAGGTATTATTTCCCAACATTCCCTATGAAGTTGGAGATGTTAAAACCAGCATTTTCAGATTTAATTATCTGTGGATTTTCCAAAATTCAAATAAATTATGTTCGAAAGCCATGTTATTTGAATTTAAAATTTAGTCATATCATTTTGTGTTGTTTTTGTGAAATTGCGGTAGTTTTTGGCGCCATGGATTAAGTGAAAATACGTACAATTTTCGAATATGAGTGCCTGAGTGAAAATACCGCTGTGCAAACAACACGAAACATTAACGACGTGTAAGGGCCTTTTTAGCCTTAGGCGCCCTGCCTTAAGAGCCCGGGCCATGTAATTTTAGGTCCCCCCAAAACGACGCCGCACCTAACTAGGCCCTATCTAAGAGAAAGTTAGTGGCTTCTCCCTGCCTATCAGCCTATCTAGGTGTTGTAGCCCGATCACATTTTTAGTGCGATCAGGCCACCATTATACAGGTCACACTGCACGTCAGACCATCGCAATCTCCGTCACCCACTATCTTCACCGAACCTTGCCCAACTGATTCCTACTCTTTTTTCAATTCAGACAATTTTTTCAATTTTTAATTCAACAATGTACTGTATTTTTCATAATTAATTATTTCTAGGACTGCTTTATCTTATTCGTTTTGTTTTTGTTTTTTTTTTTGCCCAAAATCGATCTAAGTGGCGTGCAATTGGAGATGTCCAGCAGTAGACTGCGATAGGCTGACGATGATGATGATGATGGGTTTTGTCTTAGCTGAAACCCTGTTATCGAGACTAGAAAGGATAGTCTGGTAAAATACTGTAAAAACTTACCGTTGTCCAAAAACAGGAAGGTATATGAGGTAATAATGACGTACATTGTACAAATAAGAGATAACCAGACTGAAAATGCTGTATTCGTAATCAGTGTTAAGTACCTGAAATGAAAACAATGTTTATTAGTCGAATGTTTTCTATATGTTGGTCGGTGGCCCGCTAATATTAAAACTAGTCAACTCATCATTCTCAGGTCACCCTTAACGTTACTGACATTTCAAATTTACATTAGAATTTCACTAACAAAAATCTCTTACTGCGATCATGTCACACATTTTTCAGCTTAAATTATCCCATAGTATACTAAGGAGAGGCCTATGTTCAGCAGTGTACCAGTAAAGGCTGTTGATGATGATACGTAAAATGCATGTTATGTAATAATTTGAGTTAAACCAACCAGGCAGAAGTATGCACATCTTGTTTATCGTCGAACTGCGTGCGTAGCATATTCTGTGCTTTGCACGCGCGCACAGTGTTCAACCCGGCCATAGTCGCTGATACGTGAGAGAAGACCGGACTGCGCGTCACACCTTCCACCCTAAAATAGTTTTATAGTAATAAAAACTTTAAAGAAGTTATTTTTATTAATAAAGGTTTTTAAATAAAACAGGAATCCTTACAGCGGTTTCGCATTAAGTCCGATCAGGATCCGATCTGAACACATGAAAATACGGTTCGAAGTAATCGTAGAATTATTTCCATAGTAGTTTACACACTACGGATCTAGACTCTAGACTTCAGTCATCTGATTTTATTATTGACGGGCCAAAGTAGCCATACTAGTATTTGAATGTTAGCACCCAGAATCCTTGATTTCTTCTGTGTCGTTCGTACGTACAATAGCACTGCCAGAAGTTGACACTCACGTGTTTCACTTGATGTTTCGCAAGTGTTACGCTCTGCGTAAAATGACGTTATGCTAAAAGGTGACTCTGAATTTCTTGGATTAGAATCAGTGATCACAATAGTGCGTAGACAATATACGAATTCAGTCAGCCAGTCAGCATTCCAAATCCGTAAGCACGAATCAGAAATCAGAGGTAGTTCGAAAAGCAATATCCGAATTCAGCCCGAGTTTTCTAGATCCGTATTTTCACGGGTTCCTATCGGATTCGGACCGGGCGTAGTGCGAAACTGCTCTTAGTCCTAAAATGTATTCGTACCTTTTAATTGCTTGCGCAGTGCTGAGATAGATGGCGGTCCACAGATACATGAATATAGCACAGACCGATGTAGTTATGACCATGTAAGGATTTACTATTGCTACCATTACTAAAATACCAATCATCACCATGATTACCTAAAATCAAAACAACATCAATTTTGTAATTTCTGTGATACACAGAGGGTAGATAATATTATAACTACAGACATACGAAAAAATTTCGTGTGTAATACGAATTTCAAAATATTGATTTTCATAATACCGAATGGTTCGTTCAATATTCCTAATATATTCATCCTATTTTTATAATTCAACAATTTTAAATTCCTAACGTATGAACGATAATTACTATGCTCGAAATACCACTGAATCAGAATCTTAATCTGAGAAGTTTATTTGAAGTGTTGAAAATCGGAATGTCGTTTTTCGGATTGAGAACCCATGAGCATTTGATTTTTCGAAAGTATTAAAATCGGTAAAAAAACAAACCGCATTTCGTGAATTTTAATAATAGACATTATAATTCATAGGTATTCTGAAATTCAGACTTTTGAAAATCAGAACATCGAAATTCGGAATAAAATATTTCGGAGGATTTGCATATTCCCTATTATTAGATGACTCGATATGAAGGTAGTATTATTAAATGAGATTAAAGTGTACATACTTGTATACTATCCAAGTACATTCTTGGTAATATTTCATCAACTACTCCCATGTCTTTGGAAAACCTGTTCAGGATCCGGCCAGAGGGGTTCGTATCAAAGAAGCGCATCGTCGCGGAGAGGATGTTACTGAATATCTGGTTGTGCAAATTTATAGAACTCCGCATACAGATCCACAAAAACAACATCGATCTGAAATAAATGTTTGATAACGATAAATATTATTCTAATTTAAGTAGGGAACGAATCAAAATTAGGATGTAATTTTTTTACTTTTACCTTGAAGTAGTAAGCACTATACAGCCGAGGATAGCAATTCCCCATACATAAATGTAGAATGAGTTGTTAAAATGTATTGTTAAAGTAGTTTCGATGTCTTGTCCGAAGAGACTTGAATTAAATGCTGATTCTGGGATTACCGTAAAGTTCAATATGTCACTTGTTTTATTATTTCGAATGACGTTTGAGTGTGTTGTTTGATTTAAAAAGCCTGTTTGTAGGATTTGGTGATTATCTTCAACGGTATTCATCCTGAAATAAGTTTCTTTTGGTTATTATCACCAGAGCACTAATATTTAGAACACAGTCATTTATTAAAAAAAGGTTTACCAATATGTGAGCCAGAGGTCGCTGAATGATGTGACGACTTGCGCTAGTATAATGGCGAACATGGTTGTGGAAAAAAGGCAACAACCGGAGCCGGCGCTGAAATAATGTTTGTAAACAGCCCCCGATACACGTCCTGAAAGTAATTTAAATATATAAATTACTTGGGAAAATGATAATCTATAAATAATTTTACTGCAGGGGTTTATGTAAATATTCAATGTGAATACAAGGTCACTGTACGAATAATCTTATAAAAGTGACTTTTTGATGTGTCCGTCTGATTTTTCAGAACGGAAAAATCAATTCCTCATAAAAATGCTAGATTAAGGATCTAGATTGATAACGTTTATTTTGCGCTTCTAAATATACACATACAAGGGTAATCTATTAAAGACAGAAATAATCAGCTCAATTTTTCAGTCGAATCTCCTTAACATTACTTAAATTCACTATAAAACCACTTTTTGTCCACTATTCTATGGGATGCCTTGCTCGGAGGCTGTCGCGTGGACACTGCACTCTACACTTTAGTGGAGTGCTCTATGTGGAACTGTGGACACTATAGCGAAGCAGCCTCGTGATGGCTCTTGATGTAGGTAGCCTCTCGCTAGAGACCATGGTTCTGTCCACGGCCCAAGATGAGAGTGCGTGGGATTCCTCTGTCTCGTTTTTCGAGTAGGTGATGTAAGCCAAAGAGATCGTGAAATGGGAAAGGACAAACACTCTTCTGTCCCGCAGTAGACGCACCAGGCGCCGAAGAGCGAAAAATGATAGCGAGATCTATTGAAAACTATACTTAAATTACCCGGATCCGGGATTCTAGCCATAGAAAAATGTACTCAAATTACCTGATCCGGTCATTTCATCCACTTCTACATCGTCCTCGACTTCAACAAATTCTTTTTCTGACAGAGCAGTCCCGCTCTTTGTACTTCGTGTGCTTCGTATGCTTTGTTGCGACTGTATAGAAATAGTAAGATATTTAAATATCATAAATCAAATCAAAAAATATCATAAACAATTGTCTAAACAAATAATAAATAATGTACTTCAAGAACAAATTAAGTATAGGATGGAGAAATTCACGTAGATTTTTTCAAAGGCCGAACAACCTCTGACTTTTAAACCAGGCTAGACCTAGGCGACCATTATCTCCAAAGATATATAAAAGTCCGGCTAGTAATTGAGCGTTTTCTTTTGAATACGATGTTAGTTTTTTTACGGAGCTAATAATGATGATCATAAACTTTGCCAATTTGATTAAATCATCATCATCATCATCAACAGCCTATACTAGTCCACTGCTGGACATAGGCCTCTCCTTAGAAAGGAGGTTTTGGCCTACTATACCACGCTGGCCAGACGGGTTGGTATAGGGTTTGTTTCAAGTTTTTTCTTTTTTTGATTAAATAAAACAGATTTATTTAAGAGTAAGTTTTATTGGATTTTAACAAGGCCAAGTTGATTTTATTGATTAAAAATATCGAACTTGTTTACTAAATTATATTACCCTCCTTTAAGATAGGTGTGTGGAATTGATTGACGTTACAAGTGATGAATCTACTGAGTTCTTTCATTTCTTCTGAGATTTAACCAAGATTTCAGCCAATAATTTTTTATATCCTTTTTAAAAATTAAACTATTCATAGCAGACTACAAAAAGGTAATATCACAAGAAACCGTGACAATAAAAATAAATGAATCAAGTAATAAAATATCTACGTCTCAAACTGTGTTTGATAAAAAGATCAAAAATAGATGTTTAGTTCGATAAATATTAAGTAAATCTAGTTTACCTTAAGAGATACAGCTCTCTGTCGTAAATACCCGTAAAAGGTTTCATTTTCTGGCTCCTCTTCTTCTTGAAGTAATTCATTGAACAGTGGTGATCGCGATATTTCTTCGAAGCTGGCTTGAGCCTCTACTTCTCCCTTAAAAATATACATACACATACATACACACATTCGTGTCTTTTATCCCCGAATAATTAGACAGGGCGCATTTTACGCCTTGCCAACTATACTTTTAGTCACACTCACTTACCTAATAGGAGGCAAGCGGGAAGCCTATTGCCATATATTGGATAAAATTTATTTCTAAATAAACATACTTATTATTAATTACATAATTCTAAATAAACACAGAGGATATATAAATATACGGTTCACATAAATATTTATTTGTATTAACTACTAACTGAAACGAGAATAAGTGTTAGTGATCTTAGTTAGCGGTTAAATTTACTTAATATTGTCTTAACACAGCTTATTATGTTCAAGAGGTATACAAATACATATTACAAGGTATATTTGTATTTATTATATACTTACGTGACGCAGAATAACGACTTTGTCAGCGGATTTAAGATGGTGCAGCTGGTGTGTGACTAGAATCCGTGTTGAATCGCGCAGCAGTCCTAGCACACACTCCGACACCAGGTGTTTACCCACGTGCGTGTCCACTGCCGACAGTGGGTCATCCAGTAGGTAGATGTCAGCCTAATTAAAACATAATAATTAAATGAACACATGGTCCTTTAAGCCTTTTTAGCTTTCTTTTTAGATTGGTTAAGTGTAAGGAACCGAGTGAGGACCGTAATGAAGCTACGTACGTACGTAAAATACGAGTAGCCTTAGCAAAATTAAGTGTAACCTGCACGGAAAGCGTAATGGTTCAAGAGGTCGCTGTGGGTTCGATCCCCACATGGGACAACACTGTGTGATTTACTAATTGTTGTTCTGAGTTTGGGTGTCCTTTATGTCAGTTTCATGAGTGTTTGTATAGTCCCCCACGACACAGAATATATTACAATGTGGGAGTTGTCTTATTAAAGATAAAGTCTTTGGTCTCAGACAATCCTCGCTACCTCCCAACAACTCTTTCACAATAAAAGGTCATTACGTGGTTGCGCCCGCTGTACTCGAGAAGGAGTGACTGATGTTATGGTTATTAAGTATCTACATCTAGATTCTTGTCTAACTTGGAACGCCCGCATACATCAGTCACTGTTCGAATTAGAAAGTTGAACTGCCTGTTTAAAAAACTGAGACTACGACGCACCCCGATGTTATGAAGATGGTTTACACTGCTCAATGTGAATTTCAGAACAACTAATATATAGGTAGTTAGGTATCCTGCAGACCTTTCTGTAGCAAGCTCTGGCGAGGCCAATGCGAGCGCGCTGCCCACCGCTAAGACTAATACCTCGCTCGCCCACCAAGGTCGAATCGCCCGATGGTAGCTGCTCGAAGTCACGCATTAATGCACAGGCAGTCACCACCTAAATATAGTGAAAAAATTATTATCCTACCATGAAAAAATTATTGCCATACCAACAATCGTTCACATAAAATGTGTGACGAATGTGTAAATAATGCTGTTTTCAATCTAACCTTTTTATATCGTATAGGGTCGTATGGCAACCCGAATAATATGTTCTGTCTCACCGTAGCTACGAATAGCCACGGTTCCTGGCTGGCATAAGAGATAGTTGTACCACCAATCGATACCGTACCCTGGATAGGTGGCAGCTCACCTAGGATTACTTGTAGCAATGAAGTCTGTCAAACAAAAAAAAATATAGTAAAAGTATCTAAGGCACATTGAAGAAAGCTTTTCATGTGATTTGTTACCTTTCCAGACCCAACCTGGCCAGCGATGCCTATAAATTCTCCAGGCAGGGCCGTAATGTTGATGTTCTTCAAAGTTGTATCAACTGTATCAAACTTCCAGCTGGCAGATACTTTAGAAAGTTCTAAAGGTCCCTGCTTGAAGTTTTCTTTTTCAGATATTTTCTGTTTTTCAGTTTTGCTAACGATCATTGTGTTCTTGTCGTCCTCGGATGTTTCAAATTCATCCAATTGAAGAAATTCCTAAAAGCAGAGAGAAAATGATTGGTAACATTGGCTTGTAATTTGTGATGAAATTGAATGTGTTCTTTCTAACTACTGACTTGAAGTTGAAAGCATAGTCATAATGTCCTATTTGTCTTTAATAAAATGGCAAATAAATTGCCATTTTTGTACATTTACCGTTACACAAATTTATTAATAAGGAACGTATTTTGTATATTTGTGTAAATAAGACCTGACAAAGGAATACTTTGTCAGCTAGCCTTATTTATTTCTTTACTAAATACTTTTTCACAATAAAAGAATAATATTTACCTCGATTCGTTTAATTGAAACTTTCGCTTCAGCTAAGGAAGACAGAGCTAACGGAAAACAAATGTTGGCAGCAAGTTGTAGTAAATTAAAGTATTGAACAAGGGAGAATGTAATTTCAGGTCTGATGTCACCTCCCAAAACGACGAATGTTGTGACGGCCGTGAAAAGAATGAACCGTTCCGTGAAGACACTCAACGCTGTCGAGAAACCTTTAATCATGGACGTACGCAATATGTACTTTACTTCCATCCTAAAAGGAAAAAAAAAGTTAGATTCAGTTAAATAATTTTTAGTGGGTTTGATTCTGACTTACCACCACGCCGTTAGCCCTGACGAGTTGATAAGGAGACTTTATTATGTAAGAAAAGAGTTTCGAATATTGCTAAACTGTCAAATTGGTTAATAAGGAAGCCAAAATATAAAGTTATCATATTTTGTCAATTTAGAACATGGGTAAGTGTATTTTATTCCCGTGTGGTGATGGATTAAGAATATGGTGTGTCACCACCCCTATTCATCCCGTGGGTATCATAAGAGCCGACTAAGGGAGCAAACTGCACAGGACAACAGAGAAGGAAGACTTGAAATAAAGCCGATACCAACCGGTTTGGCCAGCGTGGTATAGTAGATCAAAACTTCCTTTCTAAGGAGAGGCCCATGTCCAACAGCAGACTACTAAAGGCTGTTTTTGATAACTATGATGATGTGTATTTCCGTCCCTATTTGTCCCGTGCTATTGGCGGTGTCGTTGGACATAGTCAACGCATTCAAATGTCTGCCATTCAGCTGTATCGCATCAGGGATGATATATGTATGTACTGTCATAAGCTTAATGTTTAGATTTGGTAAGTGGTACGTACAAGTACTGCCGCCTGGTGTTCAAAATTTTAATTAGCGAGAACGGGTCAGTTGTCATTTGAGTATTGTTAATTGTAATGGCATAGTGAACTTTAATAAGCATTTTTTTTTATTGTTGGTTGAAAAACAAAGTAAAATTAAAATGAAAAATATTGTTGATAATTCGAGTGTACGTTTTTCCCCAAGAGAAACTAAAAGTAAAGCTTATTGCTGCATTTATGGGTGTAAGAGTAAAGCTTGTAGGGATTCAGATGTTAGATTTCATTTATTTCCTAAAATAAATAATTTGGTCAAAATTACAAATGCTTTCGATGAAGAAGAAAATGTGACAAATCGTTTTAAAAACAGGTAAAGATGTTACCAATAACATGCAAGTTTGTTCTTTGCATTTTAAAAAAGTCAGATAATTTTTACCAGGTATATTATATTTGTTTTTTAACTTTTTTAATAAAAAAAGTTATTTGCAAAATAAACTAAAAGCATCACTTTGTTGTTTAGATTTAGGTGCCAAAAACACACGATGATTAAAACAAAATACAGTTCCTGCATGTAATTTACCCTACACAGACAAAACACCACGATTAATTAACAATAAAAACAGAGAGACAGAGAGGCAAGAAGATTACGAAGAGATTAGAAAAGTAGGAATGACGTTCTGCCAGCAAAGCCATCTAATCCTCAAGAACAGGAGAGAACTTACATACTAATAATTTGACAGAGTTTCATTAATTCAGTTCAAGCTACACCTCTGTTAATAGAATATAACCAAAAGCGGAGATTTAATTACAGATTTTTGTTATATTTTAAAGACTGACAAAAGCGGAGATTTAATTACAGATTTTTATGATATTTTAAAGACTGACAAAGAGTGGTTTAAAGTGGTGGAATTATTAATTTTAATGTCTTAAACAATATCTACATACTCCGTACTGCGTAACGACGTAGTTAAGGATGGCTTTTCAAAGTATAGATATGAAACGATGAATCTTCGAAGTAAAATTATAATGACATTTATAAAATTGAAGCATAATTTATCGGGTCCCCCTTTATAGCAGAAGTTTTTATATCATAATCATATTTGCAAAACAACGGATAGCATAAACTACATTTTGCAGAAAATCGTTTAGCAGACAATCATTTATTATACATTCAAAACTCTTATAATTCTGTATGTCATAATCATCTTAAGGCATAAACTTCATATGCATAATAATTAAAAAGTAGAAACATCATATAAAAATTCGCCTCACTTAGTTCCTTATGCTTTTTTTATATTAAAACAGGTGTGGTCACTCAAAGGCTTGGATTATATTGTTCCAAACAAGCATTGCGGGGTGCACTCCAAAGACATTTTCTGGGTGACATTAATAAGACTTAAAATGCGGATTTGTTTACATACTATTTACATATGACATAAATAAGCTGACCCGTTTTCGCTTGTTCAAGATAGTCACCAGTTGGTGTGATTGCAACTCCCAGTTACCAATACTTTCTCAATGTATTTAGTTATTGAGAGAAAAGATACTTACTTGCGTAATTTATCAACTAATTTTTCAAATGGTTTTTCCCAAGCGTACATTTTTATCACTTGTACACCGTTTAATAACTCGGTCATCACTTTCACCCTTTGGTCTGTACGTTTAGCAATTTTACCCCTCAAAACTCCTTGAAGATTGCTTAGATAGGCTGAAAATAAATAAGGATTTTGAATTTATTTTGTTGGATACAAGATTATCAAGTTTTTATTAATGCCCGTTTGGCCCCGCGTTTTGTAACTACATAATTCAAACAGTGACATCGTCTTCCTTGAATGCATGCATGTGGTATGTTAAGTATAAAATCGTATTATGATTTATTAAATGCTCTGTCTTGACAACCGAATACAATTAATATATTAAAGAGTACTTAGTACATTGGCTTCGTGATACAGCGATCAGGGTTATATTTTAAGACTAACTCGGGGTTTTATAAAGTTTTAATTAATAGGTTCTCTAGTAAAATAAATAACATGAGTGTCCGTGAGCAGCTTTGTTTGACGACTTTTAAATGTTTGACTTCTCTTGACCGAATGCATGCGGCGTTTACTTAGATAGAGGGTGTTATTCGCAAAATCAGACGTCGAAAATACTTTACGTTACTGTAGTAATTTGTACATTTGTAACATACTGCATTTTGTTGAAAACTCTAATCCTATCAAAAACATAATATGAAACAAATCGAAGAAAAAGAGGTTATGCGGGAATGTACGTACTACGTATGAACGAAATGACACATCTATGTATAAAAGTAGATACGGTACGATTATTATTATAAACAAGATTACTTAGAGAAGAATACATTAGAATTGATTTAAAAGTCGATAAAAAGGTTTTCATACTCCTAATTTTTTTCTATAATGACTAACTTTCGGCTTTACCGGAAGTTTATATCATGTACATGTATAAATCACCTTGGACAAGTATAGTTTGTAAAAAGATTACAGCTAGAGCAGCGAGCGTAGCTATGCCTATATTCTGCCACACAAGGGCGGAAACCACAGGTATCACGACGGGCATTACCCAGAGAAAATTTAGGTACTGCGACGCCACGTCGAACCGATTTACATCGTTTGACATTAAGTTAATTACTTGTCCGGGTTCTGTTTTTGTTAAACCACCTCGACCAAGTCTTAGGATCTAAAACAAAAATAGAAGAATTACATATTTTAATGACATCATTAGCACACATTTTCGTTTGTCATTTTGATAAGTGGCAGGAGGCTGACGTATGCTGCCGGTCATGGGACCCTTTCCTTCCGACTGACGCAGGTCCTTTCCGGGCACTACTGCTTCGGGAAGTACCTGCACTCGGTCGCTAGGAGGGAATTGAGTCCCGCCTGTCACCAATTCGATTGCAGTGAGAACTCGGCTCAGCACACGGCAATTTGCCCGGCTTAGGCGCCGCAGCGCTGGGTCCTCATTGCAGTCATCGGGGGGATCTCTCGCTACCGGCCGTCATACGCTTTATGGCCAGTAATGACAGATGTTTCACCGCGGTCGCATCCTTCTGAGAAGACGTCATCTCGCAGAAGGAGGCAGCGGAGGGGCCCGAGAGGACAACCTCCAATCCGTCCGAAGGTGGTGCCCGCGCCGTTGCGGGCAGGCGCTAGGAGGGATCCGGATGCCTTAATAACAGGAGTTCCCAGATCCCTCCTATTACAGGCGCAGAGATGCACATCGTGTGGTTTTAGTCGTTCCGATTCCGACACAGCACCCTGCCGCAAACCCCGGTGGGGTGACGGCCCGAGGGGGTTTCCACACGTAAAAAGAAAAAATGCTAACACGCGAGAAGTTAGGGTAAAAATCAAAGATTAATGAAGTCGTTAAATCCCACGGGATGAAAAACTATGGCCTTAGTTCGGATAGCTATGGTCAGTCTTTATAACCAAGACTGATATCGATGTTATTATAATAAAACCATTGAGATTAGAGTGAGGATACTTACTTTCCTGTATAGTACGGAGCAACAGGCTATTCTGACTCTCATTCCAATACTAGTTTGAAGCAAAATCAAATGCGACATCATCATAGATGTGGTCAAGCTTAATAAATTCATTAGAAAATTGTGAATATGCGCAGTTCTATATAACTCCTCGGTTCTTTTTTGCGAAAAATAAAATATGAACAAAGACAATGTGTACGGTATAAGTGGCCTGAAAAAATACACCTGAATTAATTATATCATTATATTATATTTATATATATATAAATATATAACACATCATTCGGTAATAATAAAAAAAAACCGGTCAGGTACGAGTCGAACTCGTGCGCCGAGGTTTCCGAACCTACACAGATTTTACGCAGATTTTCGCAAAAATTTGTAAGTACCAAAATTTTTCTTAATTTTCAACTTTTTTTCTTTTTTGGAATTATTCCTTTATTTGTGCTGTAAGACGTTTATTTTTGCCAAATTTCGTGATTTTAGGTCAACGGGAACTACCATATATGTAGGTTTTCGACCCATAACCTATAGGGTACTTCCGGTTGACCTAGAACTGTCAATTTTGATTAAACGCAAGGTCTTACAGCACAAGTAAAGAGAAAATTCTGAAAAATTAAAAAAGTTGAAAATTAAGGAACATTTTAGTACTTACAAGTTTTCGTGAAAATCGAAATTTGCTCATTTCTTTTTATAGTGTTGACTCAGGATCTTGATTTTTATATACCTAATAGGGACCATAGACCTCAGTATCTGGTATAAATTTCAACTTCCTAGGTCTACCCATTCCTGAGAAATTCGGTGATGACACACGGACGGACGGACAAGAAAGCGATCTTATAAGTGTTTCTTTTTTACTTTTTGAGGTACGGAGCCCTAAAAAATTAAGTATAACAATAAAATCGTATTTATATACATATAATATATATAGGTTTGTCATTTACCATAAGACGACGAACAGAATGCCTTGAAAAAATCCATATATCGTGTAGTGGAACCAAAATGTTCGAATGATAGCCCTCGTCAATGAAGGCTTGTAATCTTTGTCTTTGGCTTGTTTGAGTTCCTGTTCCCATGCTTGCTCAAGACGATCGCCCAAGGCACTGGAGCGATTGCTTTCTCCAGTTTTGCTGAGATCTTCTACTGTTAAACCCTTCCTATGGGTTCTGTAAAACAGCTTGAAGCTCCATCTGTATTAATACATACATACAAACCTTAAAATTGTAATAAACGAAATTTAGACTAATTTTTTTATTGAATTGTTCGGCCCCAATAAGTTCAAGCAAACTTATCCTTTTTTTCTCTGCGGAAATCCCGTCGGATACATCCCACCGGAAAACCGATGGTATGCTTATGTCGGACTCGAACCGATTAAAAACCTCACGCCGTCTAGGGTACCAGTAGCCGAGGAACAAAAACCTAGAAACCAAATCCCTAATATCCCGACGAACCCCGTGGCATCTAAGGCTTATACCACGGTGTCCCCTTCCTCCCCGTCGCATAGCCACCCCGGCCGGCGCTTGTGGAGGAAGGACGTCATTCAGGCCCGTTTTAAATCTCTTCCGGTCCCGCTGTGCTCACTCCTTTCGAGAAAGTAAACTAATTCTAAAGAGGGTTAAGCCGGGTTAACAGTAATTACATTTTGTTTGTAGGCGATATTAATTTTATTGTAGATGATATTTTATGTGTACAATAGGGTGGCTACTCATTACTTACGTTAGGAATAACTTCGAAAGTATGTTTGATTTCTCGTGGGGATTTTTCTTAGTAAGAACCACTTTACAATCCATATTTGAAGTTCAGCCTTCGTAAATTACTTTTGTATTATATTTACGTAGTACAATGAACGTTGGTAATTTATAATTACATTTTTATCCCTATCAGCATCTGAAAAAAAGAAAATATTGTAAATAATATATAAATTAAGTAGATACCTAGTACTAACACGCTAAGATACACAGCTTGTAACCGTCACGGAAATACATAATACTCAAATTAAAACCGCTTTTATCATGTGCAAAGAAATATGTAAAGCTTATCTCATGAGCAAATTACACGCAATATTTTTTTCCAGTATCATTTTAATTGCCGCGTTTTGTGATTTCATGAGAAAATGAGAATCCGTTGGGGCGGTTTTTCTTCAATTTTTTATGGTGACACTACTTTTTGCAGTGACGTCTATGTTTATTAGTATTTTTTAATGTAATAACCATTTCGGCATTCGGCGAAAGACAATCCGCTCCTACTTTTACAATAGTTATGGGATGCATGAATTTCTCATAGAATGTTATCAAATAAAGTCAACCCAAGTAAATGTTGTCTTTATACACAAACCACACTTAGTCCACAAATTAAAAGCTAGCTAAATAGCTTAATAACTTTTTAGTACACCTAGATATCTTTTGTTTGTTCGTCGGTGTGAGTTTACAAAGTAGTACAACGATTAACGATAAAATGTATATAAAATGTAAAGAAACAATAAAACATGAAAAAATAAAAGATACTTATTGTTAAATTTTAAAGATTTTCATCAAACTTCAAAAGGCAATAATAAAGCTTATTCAAAAAAAAAGTACAGATTTCCACCTTCTAAAAACACCAATGAACTCAGAGACGTTGTTACCTCTGCTATAAGCTCAAGATTGTTGATATTGACCTTCCTATGAGGTCAATTTTAAATTGATCACACTGGTAGAATTACTCATATATGTTCTATTATTTAAAAAACTTGATTTTTCTGGAATTTTAGCTAAAAACACTCTCGAACAAAATACCTTTTTATTTTCTGTACGTTTAGGATCTATGATGCCACAGACAGATTTAATAATAACCATGATTTCTGTGTCGGATTTTAAATTTAATTCAAAAAAATAAATAAAGACAAAACCCTAAATGAAATACCTTAATAATGTTTAGTCAGCACCAAATGCACGTTACGTTGCTTAAATTTTTTATATTTCTTGCATAAAATATTAATAATAAATCAATAATAACTATAAAATAATATTATTCCTTTAAAGTCATATGGTGAAGAACTTGAAAACACAAAATACAACACTTATTGATAGAATTACAGATACATAGTCCGACCGATATATTTATTCGTTTGAGTACTGGTACTCACGAAGTCGATAACTGAGTGAATGATATTTACAATAATATTACCTAATTAAAAAAATTCGTACTTAAAGGAGATAAATAATACTGTTAGTATGGACAAAAAGGGTAAACTTGGCAAAAACTCGGCGATATAGGTAAATATCAAGTAGACTAAATTTTATTTTTAAAAAAGTGTGATCACGTCAAGTCGTTCCAAACTTAAAAAAGTTGATCTGCATATAAACTACAACTAGCGGTCTAAAGAAGAGCAGCTATTTTATCAAGAAATTAATACATCGAATACTATTGATTGTAGACAAACAAAACTGGTCTCATTTTATTCCTCATCAAATTCTCTAAAAATCATGTCTCGATCTTCGATGCGTTGTTCTCGAGTTATTAAATAAAAAAGCATTGCGCTTTTTTTTTGCGCAAGTAGACGAATTACTTTCTCTCTCTCTCTCGCTCTGCAGGCAGTGAAAGCAGAGCAAGAGAGTTAGCGACCAACGCTTCTTCTTGTCCCATGAGGAACTTCGTTCTAAAAATACAGCAAAAAGTAATATTTTTTTATACAAGTTAGAAAAGCATAAATACAATATTTTAAGAATTACCCTATAATTAATAGTCCAGATGACAGGAAATTCGAATTGTAATAAAGACTAATTGATGAAGTGTTAAGGAAAGAGAAATTGGTCACAGATGAGATATGGTTAACTGCATCATTCTTTCAATGATAGAGAGAAGACAACTAAAATTCAAATCAGTTGATATAAGAGTTTAAAGAAATATACAATTACATAAGCAGATAACACTGAAATTTAGATAACAAGGAAAAACATTTAAAGCAGATATGTAATTCTATAAAAAGCTTTGTTAGCATTGAGATAACAAAACCAAATGATAAAGTGCGACAATTTTAGATGAAATCTTCTACAAATTATTCCTCGATCTTTAGGAGAAGATCTTGTAGAGTAAATTTGATCCTATAATGTTATATCACATTCGATCCAATGTTAAAAAACGCAGGAAAGATTTTTATTCTGTTAAAAATAGAATAATACTAGGTAATGATATCTTTTGTTCGTAGATGTAATTAAATAAGCAGTTTTTTTCATTATTTGACAATCAAATTTACCACTTGATGAAGATGTATATCACCGGTATCATAGCATAAGTTTTGCAAAGGAATAAAATAGGTATTCGAAATAGAATAAGACTATAGTATATATAGTATAGGGGTATAGAACTTAGTAAATAGCATAATTACAAAATAAAACAAACAAAAAGCTTGTTAACCAAATCAAAAGGGGTGTTTAATGGGGAGAATATACGATTCATAAAATTTACAAATGATATGGCAGCAGTAGTCCATGACACAACCAATGCGAAACGTCAGTTTCATTTTAATAAAAAGTTGAATTGACTTTTTCTCAGCGCTTTAAATTTTCTGGAGCTTTATCTAGCTTGGACCTATTCCGTTTGTTTAATAAATTGAATTTTATGTATATACACAAAAAATTTTTGAAATTCGTTCTTCTTTTCTGATTCATATACGTCCAATATAGGTTTCTGATTAATATGTCTTGTTTACAAATTATGTTACAGAGTTTTAAAACTTGAATCTACGGTCTTTTATGGTCTTTTTTTACGTGTCGAAACCTCCTCGGGCAATCACCCACCCGGGGTTTGGGGCGGGGTGGAATCGGACCGACTAATCCACACAGTTTTGAGTACGGTCCTAGCCATCGTGTAGCCTAACCGATATTAGTCAAAATCAACGACCCGAAGTGCGACACTACGGCTAGCAAGACATTTAAGTAGGTCGTGGAAACACTCAAAATCACCAGAAAGTTACTAAATATGAAGTAACATTAGAAGCCTATACTATTCTCAAATTAACATACTTACACAAAAAAATATACCATACAATTTAAATTCAACTACATAATAAACAAAAGAAAACAAACGAAACACAAAATACAACAAAAAAATTAAATGTCCATTACTTTCAAACATAACAACAATAGTCCATTGAAAAGTTGCATTTCAAGTTGCATTTGTCAAAGGACGCATTTTTATAGATATCAATGAGGGGTTAGTGTTAAGTTAAGTCCAAGTTTGTAGGGTTGCAAATCTTGTCCCACGGCCGCCATTTTGGCAAGGGGTACCAATGGTTTTTATGGTTTATATGACAAAAGTCCCACATTTTTTTTTATCAAAACATTTTTTGTTGCAAATAAAATTCTCTACAACTTTGATCAAGTAACTAATCAAAATAACAGAGTTATAAGTGAAAATCGATAAAAAATTTAGAAAATAAATTCTATTGGTCGTTATAACTGTTTTCTGATCCTTCAACAACAACGAACACGAACAAGAAATTTTTAATAAGTTTTTAAATAAGTTAAAATTAAGGCCAACTCTGATTCAACTACGCTAAATATTGACTTTGTTATTGGTACAGAATTACCCAATGGTCAGCAGTTTTCTTAGCACTAAGAACATTGAATGTTTTAACAATATCTCTATCTTAGACACAACTAAGTATAAATTCAGTATTACAAATGTTAATATTTTCGAAACTGGAATGTCTGTGATTTTTTTTAAAAGGCGTGGCAACGTCGTTTAATTTATTTAATTTGTCGGCGTACTATAGTTTTTTTTTTAGATTTTAGTCACAGCATTTGATTTTATACAACACAAATTATATTTATCTGCATAGAAAATTTGGAATTTTAATTTTTTTACCTACGTAGGTCCTTAACTACGTAATTAAGTAATATACTTAACTCCTTATAAAATATTTCTTATAAATTATTAAATTGTATCATAATTACACTTCATCTGATACAAACTTTTGAATACGGTATGCACTTAGTTACAATTGCAATACAATTGCTAATATTTATAAACAAATACACTTCGATATAACTTCAATCAAAACTCGAACCGTGTATGTACAGCGACGATTCCTGTTACAATATAGCCTATCCTATCATACAATTTATATAAGTGTACTGTATGTTAATATACACGGATCTCTCTTTCACGCATATGCTTCTGAGTTTATATTTATATAATATATTAACTCTGGTGTTTATTTAAGCCGTGTGCATAAAACTTTTATGATGATGACGTTATTAAGATAGAAAGAAGAAAGATTTAGCTACAGCCGCTAGGTTTTAACTGTGCAAATAAAGTGTAATTACATAATGAAATAAATTTTTGTCTACTTAATCATGCAAGTATCTCTTATGGATTCTTTAAAAACTGTTTTTCAATAGATACCAGATATTGTGAATATGTGTATTTTTACAAAAGAATGAAATTCTCAATTCAGTTTGCATATTTTTATGTTTGATACCTTAGAACTCTATTATTTAAGAACCACTCCCACTTATACTTTTCTCTCTCCTAACAACTTTTAATAATAATAACAATTTTAACAAGAGTGATGAAACCTTACTTATACATATCTGTGAAATTAAAATATCAAGTAAGAAACAAATTGGTACCTATATATTTAATTGAATGTGATAATGTCATTCCTACATACATGCATGTATATGTCAGGCTCAATCTAGGTACATAATATATTTTTAACATTATTTTTATTGCCAAAAATTCTTTTAATACAGAAATGTTGAAGCTCCGCGTCATTACATTTGATGTACTTACGTAAAATGACGTT